TGAACTACGCGACTCAATAAAAACCTTGGTCACAATGTTTCCCGTGTGAATCTTATATTGGGATTGTGTCTATTTTACTGTAGATTTGTCGAGTAAACGGAAAATGAACATTTCTGTTACGTCAATATTTGATACTGTTTACCAAAATGTTCACCTTTTTATGCAAACCTACATAGGGATCGGGAAAGCCGCAAAAATAATCCATTTGAACATTATTGTGCGTTCTCTAGAAGAACATTTGACATTAATACTTGACATAATAACATTATATAAGGGTAACTGGATGGTATATTCGCAAAACAAACTTCTACCGAAAACTGAAATCGGTGACTTAAACCCAAATGAGCAAGTTAAAAAAGAAACACTATTCGCATTGAAATGCACTAACTTGATTAGGCAGCTGTATTCCTTTCGTCCAACTAGAAAATCTTTCACCCCGAAAACATTCCATGAGATTCGATCCATTCAGCGCTTTCATTGCCGCAATTATTTCTAGATTCGTGCGAAGGGGAACCTCTTCTGCTGCTACATTCAGCAAGTATCGCCAACCTGGCTGCTTAAGGGCCATATCTGCGCACACAAGCTGTGGTTCGAGCACACTGGCATTGCCCCACGTTACCACCACTCGGGACTCTGGGGGTACCACGTGTACGTTAGGTCCAAAACAGGTCGCAATCCCCTCCACCGCTTGGCTAAACTCTGGCAAGCTACGGCGGTCAATGTGGATGCAGTAGAAGTTGGTAGGACGATGGATCATGCGGAGCAGACGTGCCAACTGGCGGGGATTTCTGTGCGCGACGATGGTGAATGCCAGGGGATAGACGGTTTCCTGCGCGGACACCGGCGACCCCTCTTGAGGCACGAATGCCCCTCTAAAGCGTTGACAGTTTCTATGCGAAAAGGAATTTATACTGGCGAAGAAGAGATCCGTTTCTTCGGGATGGGGCGTCTGGTAATCCAGCATTGGCTGAGTGCTGTCGTCGAGGTTTGCACAGAATGCCGTCAGATTGGCACTGGCATTGGTTTGAGTGTTGGCGACGACCTTTTCGGTGACGTTTCCGGAAAATTTCCCATAAGGGTAACTGGACAGGGAAAACCTGTTCACCCTGGCATCCCCTTGCAGTAGTCTTCTCAGAAGAAGAGGCAGAACAACGCAGAGGCAGATGCAAAGAAAAATGTAGCCTAGTGCTCGTGTTCTTGGCATTGATATACGAAATAATGTGGTGAGTGGACCAGTTTGAGGAGATAAACAGTTCAGAAGCACTACCAACTTAATTGCCAGGTTAAATGGGTTTCGGCAGACTGTCGCTTATTGCAAAAGACAAGCATACAAGTACGCCGACATGACACCTCGTGACTCCATTCAAAACCTGGTTGGTGGGTTTCTCTCACCGTAAAAAAAACTAGTAGGTATAACATTCTTCTTTTGTCTACTGCCCATGGTGAAATCTATTCTGCATCTAATTAGCCATGGCCTCTGATCACAGTGACGTAACATTGTGAATGACGTCAGCTTCTTATTGCACTGACGAGGCCACAGTCCTGATTGCAAAATAGTCTGCCGAGGAATATCGAAGAAGCATGCATGATTTCTAAGACAAAAAATGTATTCACGCCTGTGAGACAGTAAAGTGCGATTGGGTACTTCAATCGCAGGAAGCTGCATTTATAGGATAATTTCACTACGTCAATGCACACTGCTGAGACTTAACGGCTCCTCTGTCGAGAAAGATTGCCAACTTGCGTGCTAATTGCTTCACAAACCGTGCGTGGGTCGTGACCTGCTGAGCGTTCATCCCACATAGTGGTCTTAGGAGTGAGGATATCTCGATGAACTGACTCCCTGAGGCTGGTGTTACACGACACTTTGGTCTCCGAATTGTGAATCCAATGCTAGGAGCCGGCTTAAACGGCCCACCCGAACGCAATTCGACCTGATTTCTCGCTTCTAAGCCAAACTACCGATCCGCCCACGCGCCTCAATTACAACTCTATCTTGCCAGATGGGTGAGTCAGAAGAACAATCATGCTCCTCACAAACTTGAGGCCAATATATGATTGGGCAAATTGCAGGCCGGTCTTGTAGATACACTGCCTGTTTTTATAAAATGCGAGTATACGGCAGTATACTATCATTCCTCAGCTCTGGTCGTTGAAGTGTATTTTGGGGATTCGTTTGGTGCGTTGTTGGACGGCAAACATTGTGGCTTGTATCAAAATCATAACATGATCTGAATGGTCGAGAATATACGAGGCCCAGGTAACTGAATAGAAGAAGGTAAGACGTTATCTGGGACCAGGAGTGTATTTGTTCGACGTTTCGAATTCTTCCGCGAGCTGATTCTCAATGAATGAAAGAACGTATAGGTCACAGATTAATTAAGTTGGTTCTGCCGGGAT